AAGCAGGTGTGCACTTCCAGAGCAGCAGAGCTCGTCCTTTCCAGATTGACAAATGTGTACAATCCTTTGTGAAGACACTGAAGATTTGTGTTCACTCCTGTTCCTGCTTCAAGCATCCAATAGGGCCTTGGATAAATTGCTTTATCTCTGCATCAGTTCGTCATCTGAAGGGAATACTTGATTATTCCCACTGGAACGTACACAGCTCCCTGAGAGAAAGGATGTGCCTGTGTGCCTTGTACAGCAAGTCTCCAATTTGGGCAGCAGCCTGTAGCTGTCACTGCATTACAGACAAAGAGCAGCTGGAAGAGGAGAAGGCCACTCATTAGCAGGAGAGAAGAACTGAAATTTGAATGCCAGTATGTTAAAAAGCATCCAAAATTAATGGAACATTTGAGTTTTCAGATTTGCTTTAGAGTTGTGTAATAAAAAATGTCAGGACATTGCTGAGGAGATTTCGCAACTGTTTTTGACTTTTAGGTGCCTTTTTTTGGTGGTACTTATGCCTGGAGCAGTTCCAACCCCTAATTGCTTGTTTATCAACCCATTTCACCCTCCCACGCACACACTTGTAGCAACACAACACTTTCTGGGATGCACTGTGAAATAAGGAGTAGACATGTCTGAAAACTTCCTCTCTCCCACTTGCCCCAGTTGATTTTCACTTCCATGGAAGTGCCATGTTTCTGAGCACAGTTCCACAAGCAGTGCAGAAGCAGGCATGGATGTTGGTCAGCTGGAATTTCCTTACACTGTATTGCCACAAGAGCATGGGACCATATCACATTCTCATTAGCTCAGTCAGAAAGGCTTTCAGAGAAAACCAAACCTACCTAGACAAGGTCAGGACCTGTGTTGTAAAATATACAGCAGTTATGAAAAGATTCAGGGAATATTCTATTATCAGAGAGAAATCATTGTTTCAGTAGATCAAAGGAGAAATCTCAGTGCCTCGGGGTTATTTACATGTTGTGTTTGATCCTGCTGTCACTTTGCTCTTCCTCTGAGCAGCACCAGGAATGGATTATTGTCAGGGGATGGAAAAAGGAAGGTTAGAGACAGAAACTATTTTTACTTGCCAGTTCTTCAGGTCAAGTGCAAAACTCAAGAAGTGACTACACAACGGCTTATAAAATAGAAGTGTGCAGAATCAAAAATGCATTCTTCAGAAATCTGATAACTTCACTTGTTTTCAAATATGCCATTCTTGATGATGTTTGGTGGAAATGGTTTAGAAGAGAGTAATGGTTTCTTATTTGGTTGGGGTTTTTTTCAGAGTGAGGTTTGTGTAAGCTATTTTTGTCAAATGGTTTACTACTGCCACCACAAAAATGGTAATTCTTTATAAAAAAGGAGCAGACAGAACAGGCTAAAAATGAGCGTGAAGAAAAACATATAGTGTTGAAGGCTATTCTAGACCAAGTTTCTGTGAACTTCATTGTTCAGGGATAAACTGTTTTTGCTTTCAATTAAATCCTATTTATTTAAACAGTTATAGCTTCAAGAGTTACATGGAGTTGCAGATGGTTCATTCTCCTTTCTTCTCATCTTTATGAACCGCTCTGCAGTTTCTCTTAAAGCTCCTCAGACCTGCAGTGCCTATTCTAAGACAGAAGTTTTAAGTGAGTGTGTTAAAAAGGGATGCTGGAACTGAGGGCAAGAAGAGAAGAACATGAGAAGAACATGCACTTCTCTAGGGAAACACTGGGGCACTTGCTGCTGGGAAGGTTCAAAGCTGCCATAACTTATGGTGAACAGCTAAAGGGATAAATATATGTGAGTGTGTCTGTGTGTGCATTACTACCACTGACAGGACCATGATCAGTTTTCCAAGTTCTTCTATATTGTTTTATAACTTTCCTGAAAAACAGAAGCCAACTTTTCATTTGTCCTTGGAAAACCCTAAAGAATGTGTTGCTATTGTTACTTCAGTAAGTTTTGTGGGATGGAGGGATTTTACTCCTGTGAGTAAAGAATTATTCATAGCCTCCAGTGTTACTGTAGCTGAGAATCTTCTTACTCATCTTAAAGATTACAGTGAAAGCAATGAGGTGGGAGAGGTCCTTAGACATACAGAAAAGGAAACCTGGAGAAGTGTGTGTAAGGCATGAGGATTGGGGTCATTGTATGGAATAGAACATCAATTATTGTTTTATAAGGCATCAGTATTGGAGATGGGCAAAAGGTCTTGAGGCAGAACCTTCAACTTGAAAGTTTTATTTTTCTTTTTCATTTCCAACACAAAGTTCAAGCCAAGTTCACTGAAGTTTGTGAACCCTTCAGCAGCAGTTGGCGAAGTTACAAGCAAGCCTGAAATGGTGTGTGGTTTGGGTGCAAATCAGGATGGGTTTGATCCCAAGCCACTTGAAACACAGCACTTTTTGGCAGTGTGTAGCTTTGTGTTTCAGCCTTCCAGCCCAGATCTGGACTCACCCAGAGGGAAGCTGTGGCTTAAAGCCCCGTGAATGGTGCCTGCTGTACTTGGCACTGGTTTTTCATGGAAATGGTGAGTGCTGTGTACTTGTCCTGGATAGATGGCTTAGGTTCCAGCTCAGCTGCAGGGTCATTATACACACATCCATATGTCTGAACTTCAAAGGTGATGAGGTAACATGTGGGTTTCATCCAGTTTTCCACAAGGAGTTTTCTTCAGAACAGACTCACTCCTGGAGCTACACTAAGGCTCTGGAGAAAGCCAGAGTAATTCCAAAGGGTGCACATTGGCACTCTTCCTCAGCATTACTTCTGGTTTAATTACTCTAAAGGAATTCTTAAAAAGTTAATCCATAAAGACTTCTTGACCTGTAAAGTAGATTCCTTTACATGAATCTAGAATGTTTCTCAGTTCTGTTCTGTGTAGTGCAAGGTCTGGGGAAAATTTGCAGAAGCCAAAGTTGGTTCCTGCAGGTCTCATGGATTTTTTTGTGGCCCCTGCCACGATGGCAGGATAAAACCTTTGGTAATCCAAAATGACCAAATGGTGGTCCTGTCTGTGTTAAAGACTTTGACATCTGTGGACTTGAATAGCTAGGTAAGATGTTATTAATAGTTATTAATATAATAATTAATTGTTATAAATGCTGAGAGGACTTTTACAAAAGCTATTGTGGAATGACTGTATTTTGTTGCCAAGTAGTGATATATTATTTTGTGACATTGGGTATCCTTTCCTCCTTGTTACACTGACTTTAACAACTTTGAATCTCCAGCTAAGCAAGTCTCCAAACTTTCTGAATTAGCAGTGACTAAGGAAATGTGTATGTCCAGCCCTTTCTGGAGGAAGGTGCTACTGTTTAACTGTAATTACTCATCTGAGAACACTTTTCAAGTGACACAAGACTGACGGTTTTTATCTTTATGTAACAAGTGTTCAGAAAAGAACTGCCTGAACTTTTCCTTTTATGGTCTCTAGCACAGGAGTAATTGACAATAACAGAGGAAAACTTTGGATATGTAGTAAATTTTTTAGAAAGTGGAATATCACAGTTTGGAAGACTTTCAGTTTACTGTTAAACTATGCAAATGCTGCCTTGATGTATGCACTTTGAAAGTGTTTTGTTCCTTAGTCCACAGTGAAGTCTAGCATTTAAAACAATTTGACATTGTTATGTGCCATTTTTAGTGTATTTTGATATAGGTTGCATTCTATTACCTCCTATCACTTTTGAAAATTACTTCTATTAAAAACCAAACAAACCTAATATTGTGATTTTGCAACAAAATATGTTATATGTGCATACAAGTAGTACAAGGGAGAATTCACCACAAAACCCTGTCTCTCCACAACCCCTCTCTTCACCCTTTCTTGCTACCTCTGTCTGTGCTCCACTTTCCAGACCAGTTTCAGCTTCCAGCCCTCCAATCCTGCCTCCCCTGCACACCTGGGTGTTGGTTATCCTAAGGATTTTTTTTCAGGTTCTTCTTTTCAGACACAAATACTTTTTGACAGGGTGTGGATTACACACATTCTGGTGGCAGATTCTGGACCTCTAAAAGCATGTTATATTCTAAAGAATATGTTATATTCTGCTGGACTTAATTACATCCCAGACAGTGTTAGTACATGCTTGCAAGATAAACAGAATTTCTTCTCAGAGAATGACTTGCACCATATAGTGCCAAGCACTTTAAGCTCATCTGCTAAGCAATAAAGAATTTAGGACTTGCTTATGATCTGACACCAGAATTTTCTAATGCTCAAAAGTTAGGGAGTTATACCTGACATATCACTTTGAAGTCAAGGCATGGCTGGTCATTTATATAAAGGTAACATCTGAGAGCTTCCAAACTGAACTGTTTTTTTAAAAAAAGTTCTTCTGAATCCCCATCCAGGCTGAGGTTTTCATGTGGTAGCATTGCATAAACATGATTACTGTTTTAAAGGGCTTGTGGTCTTTAAGAGAAATAACAAGTGGAAGTATTAAAGCACACAAACTAACTGGGATACTGATAGGCAGGGATTTTGCTACCGTCTTTTTTTTTTGCAGTGTGTGTACATAAAGCTTCCTCTCCTACTCTTACACTGAGCTCCTCTCTAAGTAACTGTTGGGGTTTCTTTTGCTGTTTTAACTGTTAGCTTTTCCCTCTCTTCATTTAACCCACCCTCTCAGAAAGAGTCCTGAATACATAAAAAGCTTTTGCAGTGTGCCCTGAAGCATGTATGCTGATGAAGCACATACAATGTAATTATGGATAGCACAATGCAGCATCATGAAGTGCCTTTGTTTACAAGTTCTCTATCATGAGAGTATAATGAACGGATTCACTGAGGAAATGCAAAAGCAGATGCCTTTGGCTGGCTCCTGTTGTTCTCTTTTTGGCAAAGACAGAGGGACGAATCTACTCTGGGACAGCCCTACTGAAGTCAGATGAGTTACACCAGGCAGAAACCAGGAACTGGAACTTTTTTCTTTTCTTCTTCTTCTTCCTTTTTTTTTTCTTTTAAAGAACACAGTTTCAAGATCTCTTTTCCCTGACTGTCACAATTTCTCTTTCCACAGAAAGGCTATGAGAAAAGACTCTCTGCTTCAAAAAAGGTAGGATATCCTTTTAGTCACTAATGTCTAATTTCCTCAGCAGTATAAGTTTTGTGTGTATCTACCAATGGCTGTAATAATAAAATTAATATCTAACTATTTATATTTTAAAAATCCTAAAAAGCTAAAATCACAGTTACTGAATGGGACAGTAAGATCAGATGGTGCTGTGGGAGGGATGGAGTGCTGACACACAGCTGTGCTGCTTCAGGTGCATGACTTATGCTTACAGCTGGCCTAGGCCAGCATATGGTACCAGCTTGAAATGTGTACTTATACCTGCCATGGACTGAGGTGTGACACTGGGCAAAGCTTCTGAGGGCAGCTGTCTGTGAAAGCACCTCATTTCACATGTCTGTGGAACTGTTAGGGAAGGAGAACCTGTGGCAACTCCTGGTATCTGCACATTTGCAACTGATAATCTTTATAACAAGTTTATTAGGGCAAACCCAGGATTGCACTTCGTAGCACAGTGTAATAACGAAAGTTAGCAGGACTGCTGCTGCTTTGTGCCTGCTTGTGCAGTGACCATACTTTGGGGTTTTTTTCCTCTACTGAGGGCCTGAATGGTGCCTCTCATATAAAACCTGCCATTTACAATTTGCCTTTTGCTGAGGCCTCCTTTGTGCTCACACAAGGCAGCTGGCAGGAGCGCTGACCTCCCTGGAGCAGAGCTTGCCAGCACTGGCTAATCAATATTCAGTAGAGTGGGCTGCTCATTATGAAGCCATTGATTATCTCTGGAAGGTTACTCCCACTGTGTGTGTCACTTTTCAGTCTTCCCTTTACCCCTCTACCCCCATCCCAGGCTCTCAAGAGGACAGAGTTCTGGGGTGGAAATGAGGTTCACTTTCAGCCTCTGAATAGTTTGTCAAAACGCTCTTTGGAAAGAAAGCGATTTCCTCACTGCCAGATTGTTGTTTATACCAGGTTTGCACTTTTAATTTCTGGGATATTTTTAATGGTTGCACTTGAAGTGTTTGTTGTATTTGACTCAGGCAGGTTGCATTACTTACACTGAGCCTTGGTCTCCTGTGACCAAAGGAAAAAACCACATCCTTTGCACAATTGTATCTGACCTTTCGACCTCTTGCACAGAAGGAGAGAGCCGTGATTTCATATTCCATGCTATTCACAAGCAAATGAACAGGGAGGCTCATGGAGAAGTGAAAAAATGGCACAAACCCCTGTTTGCTGGTGAGCTTTGCTCAGAGCATACCCAACTCCTCCAACACAAGAGAGGAGGCCAGAGAGGTTTGTGTGGCACAATGCCTGCCCACTACCCTGAGGAGAGTTTGGCAAAAATCATAACAGAGTCTCTCCTTTTAAATGTGAGTTGTCCACTTAAGGGTGTATTCAGTCATCGATACAGCAGTAGAGAACTGTGAGATAAATATGCAAGTCTAAACAGTTGAATTTATTAGGAGTAATAGACTCATACAGAAGAGTTACTGAACCGATTGTTTGGTTAATCTGATTTGGTTACTGTGGTTGTAAATATGACATTAACAGTCACAGCAGAGATTACGGGTCGAAAAGGCAAGGTCAGAGGTCTCAGAGGAGGGGAGCACGCAGGTGGAGCTTAGAGACAGATGGGTAAAAGAAAGGCATTTGGCACAGAATAATTGTATTCCTATCTCCATGACACTACCCAGTTCAGGTCAGCGCCCTCCCCAAAGAGCAGAAACTGCACTGTGTTGTGACCATCTGCATTAGCAGAAGAATTGAGCTTGCACTTGATGGATAGCGATTCAGTGTCCAGCTTTCTGTTTGCAATAAGCAGATTGAAAGTCAATGGCTCTCAAGCTTTATCCTGCTTGTGTCTTCTCAGCTTGGATTTAAGGCACCACTGAATCCAAGCTACAGGCTTCTGTCTGAATGGGAGTAGAGTCGACAATGCAAGTAAAAGCACAGCAGAAGTTACTAACTCAGTGAAGGTGAGCATCCTTCTCCTGCCTTTAGCACTGAGGGAGGAGCTGTCAGTGCATGGAGAGCAGACCTGCTGTCTGCTTCTGATTTTATACAAAGTGCTGTGTTACCAGAGAATGGAAAGGTAACACAGCACTAATGCACTAATGCTCCTGTAGTGCAAGGCAGTATTCACTGTTGCTGGAACAATACCCAGACCATACCTGGTTGGCACCTTGCATTGGTGCATCTCACACTGGTCCATGATTTGTCAGGTACTGATGACTGAACCCATGTCTCCAAGGGCTATTCCAGCAGCCAGCTCTGTGACCATTGCCAGCAATTTGATCCTGTCCAGTTACTAACACATACCAGAGAGACAATGACAGGGATGTCAAAAATGGCAAGCTGGCATTAACTGGGCTTTGTTTAGCCAAGGGGGTTTCCTGTCAGCTCCCTGTCTTCCTGATCAAGGCATGTGACACAATGGATCTGTCTGACTGCCAGAGAAAGTTTGTTTGAAGTGTAACTCGGGAGTTAAAGTGGACAATGGAGACAGTTCCTCAGCTGACAGAGAGGAGCTGTCCCTGGCATAGCAGAAGAGTGACTCCACATGCCATCCTCTTTGTCAGGAAGCACTTCCTTTCGGTGTCAGTTGTCAGCCCACTGGCATTAGTGGTTTTGCTACTGTCTGAGAAGAAGCTGTGTTGCTACTGAAGGGAGAGGATCTCCCAGATCCAATTTTGTAATAAGTTTGGGCCCAATGTCATTTACACCCAGTTTGTCTTCCAGCTGTCTTTAACACACCTGAGATGTACTTAAAGGATGAAGTGAGGACTAATCTTATGCCTCGGTCAGAGGATATTATTGGTGTATTACAAAGGAAATCTTAACAGAGAACTGCTGTTCCTATTCTTCTATTAGGGAGAACCTTCCTGTCTCATTTATATTTACATTATCCTGTAGCAATCATTGCAGTCCTAGAGGGAAATAGTGAATTTAATGTGTTTCTAGCTATAGCTGCTGATGGACATAAGTCAGTGTATTGGTACCACACTGCTCACTCCAAGCACCAGCAGATTTTTCTGATGTAGCACGAGTATCTGTCCTCTGTATCTCCTTTCCACTTGTGCTTTGGGATGTAGTGAGTTCTGAGAGAAGCAGAGTCCTCTTGGGGCTGCAGTGACAGCCAGTGGGTTAAAGAGCGGTGACATCTTTGTGAAACACTTCAAAGAGATGTGAAATGCCCCTGAAGCCAATAAAATTTAATCACAGAGTGCACTCACATTTTTCCTTCTGGATTTTTCATTAGGCTGAATATGCCTACTAGTACACAGGGACAGTTAACATGATAGAAAAGAAAGATCTCATAATGGTGTCCAAGTGTGTATTATTATTATTATTATTATTATTATTATTATTATTATTATGTTGAACTTGAGAATCCTGCATTTGTTTCAAGCATGTTTTTTTGTGGAGAAAAAGTATGTGTTTCTGTCTTGGCAGCAAACATGGAAGGAGAACACTGAGACGAACTGTGCAAAGACTTTTTGTAAAATCCCGTGTCAGTGTGGTCATGCAGATGAACTAACTGTAGGACTGACCTCCACAAGTGGCAGGGGCAGAGCACAGTTCATATTTGCAGTGTAGTAAATGAGGTATCCTTTGGAAGTCATGAGTGTAGAATAAAATTTTGAAAGATCAAGAAAACTTTTGTGACAATGTTATTCCTGATTTTTTTTAAAATCCCTCCCTTAAGGAACACAGATATAAAGTTACGGCTGATATTTTGGGCTAAGCAGATTCTCAGAGCAGCTGTAGGTCAGTGGCTGCAGACTTCTCAGACTGTTGTGGTGTGGGGTTGAATCAGTGAGTCTTTTCATAGTGGAGATACCTACAGCCACTGAAGCCATATGGACCTTCTTTTATTACAGGACTCCATAGAAAACCTTAATATATTACAATCTGGAAGTAATAAAACTCCAGCATCCAGAACTGAATGGAAGGCCATGCAAACTTTTGCAGCAGGTATATTGTGTACATATGTTACATCCTGGTACACTGTACATACTCTTACACTGTTGTGTACTTACCTTTAAAAGGTCTGGTCAGAAAGTATTTTCAGTAATCCTTGCTCAAAGGCAGCAGACTGTGGGAACTGTTTGTGCAAATGTCAGTATTTCCCTTTATAAATGAAATATATCTCTACTGGATAGAGGTGAGCTCTTGCCCTGCATTATCAGACACTGTCTTTGATTAAATACTGGTAAAAAGGCCCACTGAGTAATCTACCTTGTGTGTTTGTAGCCTGAATTGTGGTTACAAGGGTGCTACAGATCTCTCTTGCCTTCCATCTTGGAGTTGTGCCAAGTATTTTCTTCTGAGCTGAGGAAGTGCAATGTTGGTTATTCTCTAGTTCCTGTCAGTGCAAGCTCTGAAAGCAAAGATAGAATCTGTATTCATTTGCCTGCAGTTAGAACTTGCTTTCATTCTGGTACTTCAAAGGCTCTTGTAGAAAGACTACACTGGTGGTATGTGTTTCTTGGTATACGACAGGTGGAATTGTTGCCTGCAAAGCTTATTCTGGTCAGGTACTTGATCTGCAGTCAGGAGAATGAGTTTGTGTCATCGGTCAAACTGAATTTCAACATGGCATTGTAACACATCGGTATATAATAAATTCACCATTAGCTTTCTGATAACTTGTTTCAACTTTCAGTGTAAAGCAGCACTTAGAAGATGACTATGTCCTTTGCAAAGAGGGAAAAGGGAATGATGAAAAGAAATATTTGTTACTTTGCAATTTTTTTTGGTAAAGAGAAAAAAAAGAAACAGCTTGGAGGAGGTGACCTTTCAGGAGAGCATGCAGTTTATAGTGAGTCAGGACAGCATTATCTTTTCCTTTAAATATGCCTGTACTTTTTTGCATAGAACTTTTTTTGCATGGAACTTATCACCATGGTGTCTGAGTGCCTTCTCCATGCATTCAGTGTTCCAGTATCTTTTTGTGATGTAGCCAAAGGAGGGTGAGGGGTAGATGCAGTGAGTTATTTGCTCAAGGTCATTCAGAAAGTCTGAGGCAGAGCAAAGAG